ATTATATATTATTATATAAATAATATTAAATAATTTATAAATATAAATAATTTTTTTTGCAAGTTTTATAAATTTTTATTAAATATTGAATTTTTAATAAATGATTAAAAAACTTTTAATAAATAGTTTTTATAAATAGTTATTGAATTTTTAAAGAATAGTTGATGAATTTTTAATAAATAGTTTGATGAATAGTTGCTAAATTATTAATAAACTATTAATAAATTTTTAACAAATTTTTGATGAAATATTAATAAATTAATACTGAATTTTTATTGAATTACTAATAAATAATTATAGAATAAACTTTTAATAAATTTTTGTTAAATAGTTAATAAATTATTTGATGAATTGTTAATGAATTTTTTGATAATTTATTGTTAAACTTTTAATTAATAAATTTTTGATTACCAAATTATTTGATTGTTGAATTTTTAATTATTACTTTATTACCGAAATAATAATATACCAAGTGATAGCAATCAAAAAGAATTTGATAATATTTTTATTATTAAATTTAATCAAATTCAACAATAATTCAACTGTTGAATAATATAATTTTGATTAATATCAATTGCTAAATAATATAATTTCAACTAGTATTAATTTATTAAATATATTTTATACTTCTTTCAAAGTTAATAAAGATAAAAGTTTTTTAATCAATCTAATCTATAACAAACTTTCAATATTATAGATACTCAGGAAAAAAAAATCAAATAAATATATTATAATAATTTATTCAATATATAAGTATTAGAAAGAAATATTGGTATATTTTTTTTGAATAATTGATCACTATAGAAGTTAAAGAAAATATATAAAAAATAATAAATAAGAAGCTCACCTATTATATTAACAAAAAAAAATAAAAAAATAAAAAGAAAGTTTTATCTATAATTAATAATTGGATGAAAAACGCATTAAATGAGATACAATAATCTGATAAAAATCTTTTTAATATTATTTATAAATATAAAAAAAAAAAACAAGATCATCTTCTTAAAAAATTATCTTAAAAAACAATTTAAGATCTCTTCAATATCTACACAGATTATAATTAATAAGATTTGTTAAAAAATACAAAAATATTTCAAGAAAAATATTTGAAATAGTCAATATGTCAAAGTAATAAAATAGAAAAAAGAATTGAATATTACTAAAGAAAAAAAAAGATTCAAAAAATCTGGATACAAGCTTAATGAATAAATCATATAAGATCATGAAAAACCTATTTCATTTTCAATTAAAAGCTCAGGTCAAAAAGAAGTAGAGAAAAAATTATATAAAAATTATTAAGAACTGGATTTGTTATAAAATAAAATGATTTGATTTTTAATTGCAGATAGAATTTAAAATGATTTATAGTAATGATTTGTAGACAATGATTTTACTGGTTAAAGAGTATTCCAAATCAGCAAAGGAGCAAAATATCATTTCCTAAGTTATACCTTGAAAAATAGTTTTTTGATACTAGTAAATTAGCATGTGAAAGTTAAATAATTTATAGATATTATGTATTTATACAGTATAATATAGACACGCCATGTTGACCTGACTATGGATTAAAAAAAAAAAAAAGTTTAATCTTTATATTTGTATTTATTTATATTTAAAATTTCATATTATTTTTATTTAAATAAATACTGTATTTATAAAATAGATCAAAGAAATAAATAGTCATTTTTTTTTTGTCACTACTGTATTAACAGTCGAAATTTTTACTTTAAAGTCTTGACGGATTTAAGCTAAACATATTTCTGATAATTATTTCGGAAACAAAATCCTCAACTACTGTAAACAATAATGCTGAAAATTTTAAACTAGATATTATGGATGAGTGGAAATAAACAAATAAATTGTAATTGTTTTTTATTACCGTAAAATTTATTGGCCGCTTGGGTGATTAAAAAATGCATGATTGTCAAGCGAAAGAGCTAGGGCGTGCACAAATCACAACGGTGGTATATCCCCGTCTGAAGATTGTCGTATAATATGCTCGCAGGCCTCAAGTAATGCATTAAATTGGTGTAAAGTTCCCAATGTCCCCTCACCATTACTAGAAGGTGCTCGATCAGTATCATCAAAGGCACTAACAGAATAAGAAACATCACAACATTTAAATGCTGCATTGGTTAAAAGGCCTTCGAAACCATCCTAACAGGGAAAAAAAGAAATCAATAAGTACACTGCTACCATAATGAGTTCTTAATAGGGATAATATTTTATGACGTACCAAATTTTCGTCTTCGCTCCATAAAGCATTCTCAGCCATGACAGATTCTCGCAAGATCTCAATATCTGAGAGAAAATCATGTACTTGTTCCAATTTCTTTGATATTGAAATGAGGCTCGAAAAATATGAACAATATAAACCCAAATCGGGATGAAATTTGAAAATTTACAAATGCGAACCTTTCTAATTTGTTCATCTCTTTTAAATGCTTTCCTTTCTTTCGACAAATCGATTTCGATTTTTTCGCGTTTATGCTGCAAGCATGCAATCTCCTTATGTAACTGATTAGTTCGTGACTTCGCTTTTCTCAAAGATGATCGTATCGTTATTTGTTCATTAACAAGATCCAACTGAATTATTTGATACGCTCTTTTCGGTAAAGATAAAATCTCAAGGAAAAGAAAGACCAAAACACAAAACAAAAAGGCCCAAACCTGATTACGCATGCGAGTTTTAAACTCTTTTTTGAAATGATGTATCTCTTTTTCAAACGAGTTCTCATCTTCGAGGTCTCCCCTGTAATTCAAAGCATATTTGAAATTCATCGAATTTAGAGAGAGAGAGAGCGTAAAACCCATGGACTGGTGAATAAAAACGAAAGATGCATACAAGAATTCTGTAATAGTGTTATCAACGATGTCGATAATCATTTCAATTTCATTCGACTTTGCGGTCGTGATGCTATTCGGTTTTCCTCTTTGAACAGTCCTGACATTCCGCCGATTCTCTGGGCACCTTATTTTCGCCCTTCCTTTTCCTTGATTATTATCATCGCTCATGACAATACTACCTTCGGATTCGTAATCGTCAGATGACGGCTCGCTGTTGAAATCATCAAATTGCTGTTCCCCGTTATCGCAAGTGGTCGATATTACGTTTGATAAGGCTATTCTGGATCGAACGTTTGTTTTAATGGAAGGTGATATAATTTTGATTGGCCATGATCTGGGTGTTTCCAAGTTCGCTTTTGTTGACAGTGTCTAAAATATCAATAGTAGATTTAAATTTAAACTTAATCTCTCTATTTGTTCGATTCTAGAATAGTGTAAGTGTAGTTTGTATACCTTCATTCCTCCCAAGTGAATTGGTGTTCTATCACGACTTTCATCATTTTGTTTTTCGCCATTGTTTCCTCTGGAGTTATTGCCTTCGTCTTCTAGATCATTGTCTATATTGCTCTCTATTTCATAATTATATTTATCGTTTGAAGGCGTCACCGTTTTCCCCATCGCAGACTTATCAAAGTCACCATCGACAGAATTCACTGACGATGATGACCTAGAATCTATGCGAGAAGTGATTTCGGGTTTAGATATGCGACGGGGTGGCGTTATGTCTTTCGTGACTTAAAGTAAAAAAAGAAATCGATGTTCAATATCTTGCTGAACATGAATGAGATTCAGTCTGACATAAAGGAATTCACCGAATCCATTATGCGCCACGGTTCTCCATGATCTTACATCGTCTAATGTTGATTTCGGTGAAATGGCGGGTGAGTCGATTAACATATGCGTGTCATCCACCATTTCCGATAATGCAGTGACAGCCGACTCCGATATGGCTAGATTTGATTCACGTGATGACGTAATACTGCAGTCGTTAATGTCTAAAGCTTTTAGTCGTCTCTGGTTCTCGATTTCAATGTCCAACTCCAACGAATTATCCACACTACTGGCCACACCTGAAGGTGACGAATCGTTTTCGCCATTTAAATTTAATGCCGGAAAGTTTATAGGTTGGGATGTGTCCTTTACACTATCATCTTCGGACCTCTTGTCTTGATCCGGGACCATGATAGTAAAATTTCTGAATTCTGTCCGATGAGTACCAGCGCCTCTCCTTCGTGCGAGTATTCGCTCCTGGTACTTCCCGGGAAGCTGCGAATCTATAACTTATTTTAGAATGACTTTCGATGGAAGAAGTAGTAAACAGCTCATACCACTAACCTCCCTCTGCGTTGGTCATTTTGCCGAGAAAGTAAGTCTAATTAATGCACACATGCGAACGCGTTCGGAACACGTATTTATACTTTCACGTGATGCCAAAGTTGATCATGTGATAATAATTATAAATACGCGAAAATCCGAAAAAGCTAGTCCTCCTTGCAGAAAAAATGTCAAAATTAGTGGCCACTACTATTGGCCTTATAACATCCGCGGCTCTACTATACAATTTCCAGTCAGACATAGAAAGTAATACAACTCAAATCCGAAAAATGTTGCACAAATCTCAAAGTCAACTTGAAGCTGCTTTGCCCACTCATTTGAAGAGTGGTTTGGCAGGTTATCAAATTTCGATACCTTTTTTTTTTGTTTTTCTTCATCGGGTGTGTTGATGTTAAACGATTCCTTATTTTCAACAGAAAAGCGAATTAATTACCAAATCAAATAGCCATCTACGACTGCCTATTCCGTCTATTGCGCAAACAGATCATTACGTTAAACATCGACTGATTCCGACGTTTAAGTCCACATGGAATGCGCATGTTGAAACTTTTGCTCACAAGGTCTGCAATTTTGATGCAAGTGAAACGGCAAAAGCGGCGGTCAAAAGCGCAAAATCATTTTCCGAAGAAAAAGGATGGAAATAGGGATAGCTGTGTGAGATTTCGGTTGACCTCTTGCGTGAACATTTTATATGCTAAGTGTACAAATACCGGGCATTAAATTACAGTAATTGCAACAAATATTCTCTCATTCATAAAACGTGGTTTTAAGCATACTCATGATTCCGTTTATATATGAATCATTTATTTAACAATTAAAACATAGAGTGATTTCATCAAAAAAATTTTTTTACTCAATAATCCATGATCAGAGATTGATTTTATTTACTCAACTTTAAATTATACTTTTTTTAAATCACAATTTTGTTAAAATTATTTAAATATTATGATTATCTCTTAAAAAAAAAACTGCAAACGATATATCAGCTGATCGCACAATACGAGTGATACGCAAGTACCAAATACGTTCTGTATTAAATTTCACTAGAGGATATGGTTTCGTTCTTGGCGTAACGGAAATTTTTTTGGTTGCTAAGCAACCTTGGTAAAAAAACTGTAATTAGGAAAGGTTCAATTTTCCAAGGAAAATTCTCTTGGCGCCGTTGATATAAAAAGGATCAAACAGCACACCGAGGTAATGTTTATATAAAAAAAAAACGTGACTCCTAATTGGATGCCAAGAGCCTATTTATATCATTCTTGGCTTACGTATCTCTTTGTCACGTCTTACCATCATTAAACAGTTATAAAAGGGTGCCCACTACAATTCTTGCGACAAACGACCTTACTTATTTTTTAAGCTTTCTGAAATATACTCAAGACAAAATTTTCCAAAATGTCCATGACACCACCACGAAGTTGCGAACCTTTTTTGACACCACCACTTCAAGAGTGCGAACCTTCGGTCACTGAATGTACACCTCCTTCGGTCAAGAGCTGTGAGGATTTTGTGTGCTTATGGAATAGTTGTTACCGTACCTTTGATGACCCAGAATTGCTTTATCTCCATTTGTCGAACGATCATGTCGGTCGAAAATCGACTGGAAACCTATGTCTTGTTTGTCATTGGGATGGGTGTGGAAATAGTTCCAAAAAGAGAGATCACATCACTAGTCATTTGAGAGTTCACGTTGCTTCAAAGCCACATGTCTGTGAGGTAAGATATTGAAATCTTTGGAATCTGTATTTGCTTGCGAACTAAAATCCAAAGATTTTTTTATTAGCGTTGTAAGAAGGCTTTTAAACGTCCTCAGGATCTAAAGAAACATGAAAGAACACATATACAAAGTGCTAAGAAGCCGCCACCCTCTCCCACTCCTTCCCCAGAACCATCAGGAGGTACGGTGTATTCGCAACGACATTGTCTAATTTCTGATAACACATTGCATACCACTTACTTATCTATTCCTTTAATGAAATAACGGCAGTCTATCCACAGTACCTCGACCCTCAATTCACCCATACAAGCTTGAATGATACACTTGGGAGTACCAAGAATAACGGAACGAAACGCAGTATAGATGAGGCCATTGAAGGGTTTTATCAGGAAGTGAAAAGGCAGCGCATTGTTCCGAAGTATAATAATGGTATCTTCCATTTTACATATGCTTTGTGATTATTATTATTAAATCATTTTATTTACACTTTTTTTTTTTTTTTTTTTTTTTTTTTAAAAAAAAAAATTATATATATATATAATTTTAGATTTAATAGACAAATTAGAAGACATTTCTGGTGTCGTCGGAGATATCAATCAACTGAGCTTACCATCATCCACCTTCTCAAAAAAGGAGGACCTCCATGTCTTCGGGGATTTCTTGGCGCAAACCCTGCGTGAGATGGAAACCAACCCCGCTGCCTACTTTACTAATGTTTCTACTAGCATACCAAATACTTTGGATGAAATTCTTATCGGTGATGGATTGAATCCTGTGGTGGAGGATGTTTATCCACAGACATATGTGTGTTACGATAACAGCATCTCACGTCCGTCAGAATATATTTCGGTTTCGCCATACATTTTTAATCCCAATTTCAGGCAACCACAACAAGTTATTCCTTATTGTATTGAGCCTGATTTTTCTGGACTTCAGACCCGGATTCAGCAGACCGGCCTACTGCAAACATCTAATAGTCAAGTTTCAGATGTCGCAAGTGGTTCGGTCAACGTAGAGCAAAAACCCTCGGGAGAAAGCATTAAACCAAATTCTACTGAAGATCAGGTACCTTCAGGTAAAGATCATGCGGTAAGTAAGGGCGACAGTGTGGATGAGCTGTCCGACCGAGTTGCCAATCTAGGTATAAGTGATAAACCTAATATCACAAAGGCACAGGATTCAAAGAACAATCTGTACAGTGAAGCTCTAAGAAAGAAACACATTGTTCTTGTTAATGCCTTACTCAAGAAGGTTGAAGAAAGTCTCTCCAGGCAACTGGATGAGACTTCTGTTAAACATGATAAGGACCGTAAAGATACTGTTCGGTCCAATAATTTGTCAAATCCCCCGAGGGATTCACTATCGATGCATCCCATTTTAGATGGTGATAAGCTAAATTTGGGAGTAGAGAGCTTGGTTACGGTAGAATGAGCATAATCGAAAATTATTTTCATTCGGAGATGACAACAAAATAAACAAACGGAATCGTGTGGGACAAACAGAATGCGGTTCTGTAAATTTTCATTTCTGCACTTTTATGATATAGCACTCTTTTATCTTGGGCGAAAGTGAAAATTGTTTTATGGTGTAAGTTCTATATATATATATTACCCGTTTATCTTCTGCTAAAAAAAAAAGGAAATTTTCTTTCGTTTTTTTTTTTATATATATAAAATACAAATACTCTCGCCGCAATTATGACTAGTTAAACAGAAAATAAAGTTCGCATATAAAATCTATAATCAATTCTCGGTTATAGCTTTTTATGATGGTTCGACTCGACGAACGAGTACTTACCGCATTTAACAACTATTCTCCATTGACTTGAAATCTATGGTCGGAATAATAATCAATGAGATTAAGGAAATCCGTTGAATATAAATGATGATGGTCATCATTAGCAGTGATGTTTACACAATTCCCCAAAATATATTTATTGTCTATTAAGAATCGTCTTGTAGGCGATCATCTTGATCGCTGTCGATCGTGTTACGCCAATCTCTTCTTCTAGATCTCGTCGCCCCAGATTTACTTCGCGGCTCCCCAATCTCATTAGATTCCTTCCATGGAATTTTACAGGTTGGGCAGATCTTCTCACTTTGAGAAGAGAAGTAGCGGCGTGCGCAATGATGGTGAAGTCGTGACTTACACTGTTGCACTCCACACCGTTGACCCTGAATTCCAAAGGATTGTTAATTTTCACATTGATGTGAAAGTAACCGCAATAAAAAAAATTAAAAAACTGTGAAAACGGTAACACCTGAGTAACAATATCATAGCATAAAGTACATTCAATTAGATTTTCCTCAAATTCTTCTTTTAGATAAACTTGCAATTCGAGAATTGTTCTCTGACTCAAAGAATATCTTCCACCTCTAAAATGTTATGACATGTTAACCCGAGATTACATCTTTAATCAAACCGGGCACGGGTACACTTACGGTGACAAGATTAACCATTTATCATCAACAAATCTTTGCAATAGATTTTCCGCTGTGTTTTTGGTTATGGTAGCTTTGAGTTTGGAAGCTTCTTTCAATGCAGTAATTGATGAAATCGAAAATGCTTCATCATCCGCGGTAACAATAAGTTCAATCTTTTTTCACCGAGTAATATATAGAGTATTGATGATCGAAAACTTGAGAGGTTATGATCAAAAAAAAAGAATGCATGACAAATCACACATGTGGTTCTGAACGCACCAAATGTTTGAAATACGCAATCTCAACGGGCGAATACTCCGTAGCTAATTTTGCAACCTCATCGCCATTAGTATTAACCTATAGTATGGTGTCAGAGAATGTTGGGCACTAGAGGCTTGACTGATTGTTGCTACTTTCGTAAAAGCGACGAGTACTACAAAGTAAATCCGACTTACCAATGCCCAGACTGCTTTTCCGTCGATTTCATCGTGACTTTTTCGAAATTCCAAGTCGACCGTATTAAGTTTTAGGTTAATCGTTACCATAAATTCTTGGAATACTTCCGGATTTCTTACTTCACAAGGCAGTTGGGTTATGGAGTTCAAAAAGCACTTAATAATCTAATTCCTTCTTTGGTCAAAAGGCATTTTTGGTTTTACCATCATTCGCCTCACACGCTTTTCTATACATCTCTATGGCCTTCGTTTCCGGGAAGAAACGTTCCGACATAGAAGCTTGTAGAAAGAGGCGATGTGCATTTGAATACGTTGTCATCAGAGAGCAAGATACTGTGTTCGACGGGAAAGTAACGCTCCTAAGCGTCAAACGCGACAATGAAAATTATTGCCGTTGATCACGTGAAACAATAACACATGATTATATATATATTAGGGTGACCAAAAATAAGCACTATGCATAGCATATCAGTTATAGCATATTATATAATTTGCGCAGTTAGCGCAATTTTTCTGATCATCTATTAAAA